TTTTGATGTAAAACAAAGTCAAACGGAACACTAAAATTTGATAAAAAAATTATTTTTTTAGGAAATTTTTTTTTTTTATTTTTTGGCAATGGAAACAAATTTTATAACCAATTGTGGAAAAAATTATCACTTTAATAAATAATTTTCGTGTAAAACAAAGCCAAACGAACACAAAATTTAAAAATTTTTCGGGTGGAAAATTATACCAATCAAATACACTAAATTAACAATTTCCTGCAAAACAATTTCTAGGCAATTGCTTTCCTTGGAATTCATTTTCTTTCCATCCATTTTCCATCATTACAATCAAATGGACCCTTAGTGTGAATTGTGACTAACAAGGATTCTTGGCCATTAGTGTTTACTGGTAACTCTTAAAATGAAACAGTGTTGTAAAGAAAATTTTGAGATATTGCAGGATGTATGTATTTTACCTTTATTAGGATTGTATAACTGTATTATGGTGGCAAAATCAGAGGTAGAATTACGGTACTTCCTTATTTGGCTACAGTAGAACCTTTATAAAATAATATTAGGACCGAGAAAAATACAATGAAGATAATAAAATAGTTTAGAATAATATATTTTATTTATTGATACATTATGTGATGCAATTTCTAGTCAACAATACAAAAATAAATGGATGCCAAGCACCTCTTGAATTATCCTAGTGGAAATGATACAATGATGGAATAGCCTACTAAAGAGGGATTCTGAAAAAAACCTTATGAGAACGATCGTAATTTAGATGATAGCCGTGTTTTATGAACTATTTCTCCTAAAGAAGCCTTTTAAGCATCGTAACCTTGAATAACTTCAAAAACAAATATACTAAATGTGGTATGATTGGAAAAAAATAGGGATGCGCTTGAGTTTAGTTTGAGTACAAAGAAAAAGGAAGTGATTTTAGATGCATAATTTGAGGGAACAAATTGAATTGAAAAACATAATTTATCAAGGAGAAAGTTCCTTAATATGCATTATTAAATTTTACGTTTTTAACCAATTATTATTTAATATTTATGTTGGGCCCCAAAAAATTTTAAATAAAATTATTATCTTATAAATTTAGCGAGAGATTAATTTATTATATTGACAAGAATTGATATCGGGAAATTTTATTATTTAAGCAATTTTTTAAATTTATCTAGGTTTTATATTATGCCCTTGTTTGGTTCCCATTATTTCTAAAATATATTTTTTACTTTCTTATTTTCAACCACACATTATTCAATAAAATAATGTTACGCACAAATCTAAAATTTATCCTTATTTTTTAACCATACATTCTCAATCAAATCACTATTTTAAAATGCATTTTTTTTGCAAAAAAATGGGGCTCAAACATGCTTTAAAACACATTTTTTTTCAAATTTCCTTCCTAATCTTCAGCAAGTTATATCAAATTCTTACATTTTTAACTCCCACGTAAAACTTCATGCCAACTCGTAACCAACACATTCAATTGTGGACATGGAGGTATCTATTTTACTTTAAAACATCGTTGGCTACAGATCACCCCTAGAGAAGCTATCTCATTCCTTTTTGGTTCCTATATTTAAGCCTTTGTTTGATCCCCATTTTTTTTCAAAATGTAAAATATATTCAATAAAAGAATCGATGCCCCTCTATGCGAGAAATTTTCTCATTATATAGAAACCAAAATAATATCTAAATATGGTAGTAATCAATTACAATATTAATTAATGGTAAAAACAATCTATCTATAATAGTCGTAATCTTTGACGATATTCGGAATCTTATTCAATCTTCAACGATCTCCGTAATCTTATTCAATCTCATTGACATTCCCCCTCAAATTGATGTTGGCAAAAGCATCAATTTGCAATCATGAACTAGCGATGGTGACAATATTTGGGCCCACAAAGTAGAAATCCAAATCAGAACAATCATCTATGAAAATTAGTTACGACGAGAGATCAAGAACAACAAATAGTGTAGTAACCAACAAAGAACACTCCAAAGATACTCCAGAGAACTCACACTCCCCAAGAAGAATTTCCAAAAGAAATTCACGAAGTGTGCCACTGTACCGACACACACATTGAACTCTATCTGTCGGGAGAACTTAGTCGAATACATAATTCGTGTTCCAAAAAAAGCTCTAACGCCAAAACACCGGCCAAGACTCCAGATGCTGCAGGTGGAAGAAATCCCACAAAACAGCCTAAACTTGAGCTCATCACCTGAGCAACCAAATCACGGTCTGCACTCCCATGTCTCTCTATACTCACGAAGCACCATATAAAGGAAAAAAAATCAAAGTTGGAGATATGTATTGACTTGTAAAACTGTAAAAAAATGATCATGCTTATTAAAAAAAAAAAAAAAAATTGGCCGGGCGAGAAGCACAAGGCCGCCCACCGAACACGAAATTCAAGGGTTAATTTGTTTAGGATTAGAACAGCTCTGATATCATGTCAAATATACTCAATAAAAGACTCGATGCCTCTCTATGTAAGAGATTCTCTCATTATATAGAAACCAAAATAACAACTAGATATGGTAGCAATCAATTACAATATTAATTAATGGTAAAAATAATCTATCTATAATAGTCGTAATCTTCGACGATCTCCGGAATCTTATTTAATTTTCAACGATCTCCGTAATCTTATTCAATCTTATTGACACAAAATACACTTGTATTCAAATTTCAATCACATTTTTAATTAAATAATATTACACGTAAATCTAAAAAAAATTCTTATTTTTTAACCACATTCTCCATCAATCTACTATTCCAAAATGCATTTTAGACAAAAAATGGGGCTCAAACAGACTCTTAAGATTCTTAAGCATGATGTATTCTGATATTTGAGACTGAAGCACGTCCGGTTCCCTTTATTTTGTCTTCAAATAAGTAGTACCAATTGTTATGTAACTTTTTAGTTCTAGGCTTTAAATGAATTGGGAAGAGAAGGTGGAACCTAATGAGGAAATTCAGTATTTTCCATTAGGTGCTCTGCTCTATCTCATGGAGTGGAATGAGTACTTTGTCACTTAAATTTCAAAAATCAACTTCTATTTACTTCTGTTGATCTTTTTGCAGTTTAGTGCATGTCAGCAAATGAGATGACTTTTTGGTTTTAGGGTGGTCTTTGTAGGTTGAATAAAATGTTAAAATTCAGGATTTACAACAATTTCTTTCTTAAAGTTACTCGTCGTTTTGCTACCCTTTATCACATCTAATTATTTTACTTGTAAATTATTATCACGTAAAGCTTATATTTATGTTACTATCTTTCACTTGTAACCTCATGAATTGGCTTGAATTCACCTCCATGTTGGATGTCCAATTTTCAGGTCTAACCAATGTTGCTAGATTAATTGGGTGTGAAGTTGAGGAACTAAAGCTAGCATTATCAACCCGAAACATGATTATAAGAAATGAGAATATTGTTCAAAAGCTTACTCAATCTCAGGTTAGACAATTCGTAATGAATTATATGATAGATGAGGCCACCTACGGCCTTGTGGATTAGTGAACTGTATCAATCATAATTCCTCACTTATTTTTATATTACTTCATGCATCTTTCAGGCCATTGATACAAGAGATGCACTGGCAAAATCAATTTATTCTTGTTTGTTTGACTGGCTCGTTGAACAAATCAACAAATCCCTAGCAGTTGGTAAACGACGCACAGGAAGGTCTATCAGCATTCTGGATATCTATGGATTTGAATCGTTTGAGGTATGTGCCTATCTTTTATTGGTTTAATGTGATTGTTGTTTTTCTTTGTATTTGCACTTATAGTTGTGCATATTATTGTTTTTTTTTTTGTACTTCTTTTCCAGAGGAATAGTTTTGAGCAGTTCTGCATCAATTATGCCAATGAAAGATTACAGCAACACTTCAACCGTCACTTGTTCAAATTGGAGCAAGAGGTAACCATTCAATATCTCTTAGTATCTGCCTGCTTTATATTTGGCATTTCTATTTCTTTGAAGCCCTAGAAAACGTGTCACTACTTAAATTTAGTCACTTTTGAGGATTTTTACCATTTTTATTTTATTTCAGATGTGCTACACTGATTTCTCTCAATGAATTGTATTTTTTTTTTTTTTTGTAATGAATGAGTGGATGCAATTTTTGTGTCCGCTGCATTCCTGTACCTTACCTACTCTAGATTTCTTGGACAAATTCAAATAAATCTGAGAAATTTAAAGAAAAGTGGATCCATTGGGTCAAAACATTGCTTGGTTTTTCATCATAGTTATATAATAATGGGAAATTTAGCCAAGACTTCTGTGATTAAAACGTTATACTCTTGTTAGTTGAAGCAATTAGTGGCTGCAAGTATATCTTTTAGGAATTTAGAAATGGACAAGAAATCTAATTGCAAATATATTTAACATGTACATTTTATGTGAAGCAATTGACAGGATCCCTTGGTAATTTTTAGAGTTGAAATTTTTGGGAGCGTGTTTATTGGTAAATGAGACCAAATGTTCTGGATTCTGAAGAAGAATGCTGGAGAAATGGTCGATGCTGTATTTGCTTGATTGGACTCTTGCGTTCATTGATTTTTATTCTTTTCCAGGAATACATTTATAATGGCATTGACTGGACTAAAGTAGATTTTGAAGACAATCAAGATTGTCTAAATCTTTTCGAGAAGGTATGTTACTTGATTTTGCATTATATATTTTCAAAATCAGGAATCACATTTTTCAAATTGTCCTATAATTGAATCTTCGATTTACTTACATAATGATACTGCATACAACTTACTTATGACATATTGTTGTTTTTGTACAGAAACCGCTGGGTTTATTATCCTTGTTAGATGAGGAGTCAACCTTTCCGAATGGCACAGATATGACTTTTGCCAATAAGCTTAAGCAACATTTGAATTCGAACACTTGTTTTAAAGGAGAAAGAGGGAAAGCATTTATGGTGTCCCATTATGCAGGGCAGGTATTCACTTTATTATTGATAAATTCTTTTTAGGTTGACGGCTACCCTTGCTCCCTTAGGTTTTCATTTAGGTCAATTTGCATTTTTTCATTTTAGTGTTGGTGGAAGCAGTCAATGAAAATCAAATTCATGCTTTTAATTACCTCCACATAGATACAGAATCCTTTTTAAGCAAAGAAGGCACCCCCAACAGACAGACAGACAGAAAAAAAAAATCCTAATTTCATCAATATCTTTGCAATTACTTTACTCTTACTTGAATTTCTGTATAAATTACAGGGCATGACTCTTCCATGTGTCATTGAACTTATTGAGTTGGATGTTGTCCATTGTTGAACTAAATATCATAGGCAACACTTTGCCTGATAGGTCATATATTCTTCAGTTTAATTCCCATTGTCGCTAAGCAAATGCCACAAAATTTATCATAAAATAAATAAATTAAAATATTTCAGTTTTTTGTTGTTGCTGTCTGGAGGTTTAGTAATTTCCATGCTTCTCCCAGGTTGTCTATGATACAACTGGGTTTCTCGAGAAGAATCGGGATTTGCTTCACTTGGATTCCATTCAACTTCTATCCTCTTGCACATGCCACCTTCCTAAGGCTTTTGCATCCAGCTTGCTTGCCCAATCTGAGAAGCCTGTAATAGGTGCGCTCTATAAGTCAGGTGGAGCAGATTCACAAAAATTAAGTGTTGCGACAAAATTCAAGGTTCAAATCTCTTACTTGTCATGCTTAATTGCACATGCACGTGATTACTTTCATGAGCATAATTGTTATTTTGCGGCAGGGGGAGCTTTTACTGTGATAAAAATAAGGACTAAAAAGAGTAGCAAGAGTAGCCGAATCCTTTCATATGTTGACTGTTATTTTTGTATTAAAAAAATGTGGGGATTGTACTCTTGACATGCTCCTCAAGATTGTGGCTCGTTTGAGAACACTAATCTTGGAATCCGACTGCCCATATGTACTTTAGATGAATCGATTGCTTGTTTGAGCTTTCTGGGATCTGATAGTATTTCATTTCATCGTTTCAATAAAAAAGGTATAGAATTTATGGTGTACAATCCTATCTAATAAGGAAACTAAATTACTCATAAGGAACTTAGAAAAGAAAACTTATGATCACATAAATCAGGGTATTAATTTCCTTATATTCTTCAATCAACCAATCACAAAACTTTTCTACTTACCATTATCTTTTGTGGATGCCAGGGCCAATTATTTCAGTTAATGCAACGCCTTGAGAAAACAACGCCACATTTCATACGTTGTATAAAACCCAATGACGTCCAGTCTCCTGGAATCTACAATCAAGGATTGGTGTTGCAGCAATTGCGGTGTTGTGGGGTCTTAGAAGTTGTTCGAATATCAAGATCTGGATTTCCTACCAAAATGTCTCATCAAAAGTTTGCGAGAAGGTAAAGATGATAAATTTGTTGCAAGCAGTATAATAGTTTGTCTATCTCGTCTTCCATATTTAGTTGGCTACAATCTAACATTTTTTCTTTGTCAGGTACGGTTTTCTTCTACTGGACCATGTTGCATCACAGGATCCACTTAGAGTTTCAGTAGCAATTCTTCATCAGTTCAATATTCTACCTGATATGTATCAAGTTGGCTACACCAAGTTGTTTTTTCGAACTGGACAGGTGAGAAAATTTTCTTTTTGCCTTTTCTCCTGTTTGCTACATTTAGTCCTACTTCTGATTCTGCTCTTAGGTGGAAATTTCTTGGTTGAGGAAGCACTGTCAAGTGTTCTGACCATGTAATGAAGACCTCTCTATTTCTCCCCTCATATTTTGTCAAACCAGAGTTCTAGTTATTTGTATGTTGAGACCAAAATTTTGATATTTTTCAATAATCAATGTGGAAAGTTGTTATTTGGATTAGAAGGCAGACTCTATTTACAAATAACCAAGTATTGGGCTTTGTACCCTTTACCCCACATTGAAGTCCTGAATATTGATCGGTGTCCTTTGGTTAGGGAATACACATTACCCATTTACTGTCCAACAAAATGATTACAATTACTCTTTCAGAAACAAATGTAGGTCGGATTCTTATTTTGTCCTCTCTGAATTCTAATCATACAAAAATAAGTTCTCTTCAGTAAGTCCTGGGAAAATTTTGCACTCGTTCATAACGTTTACATATATACTGTATCATAAAAATAAGGAAATACAAAATATAAAATTAAAAAAAAAAAGGGAAGAAGAATTAGCACAAGTTTCTGTGCAAAAGTAAGTTCTCTTCGCATAAGTTCTTAGATCATTTTGCACTGTACATAACATTTACGAACATACCGTATCATAAAAAATCAGTAAAATACCAAACAGAAAACAAATGTTTTTAGCTTAAGTTTCTGTAGTCCAGAATTTTTCTCAAATTAATTGTCTACTGGTGCAACTGACTATATATCTAAAAGCCTTCTACCATTGGTCAATTTGTTTGGTACCATCAATTCTTTCAGATTGGGATACTTGAAGACACTAGAAATCGTACTCTTCATGGCATCTTACGTGTTCAAAGCTGCTTCAGAGGTCATCAAGTTCGCCACTATGTCAAGGATTTGAGGAGAGGCATTGCGACTCTTCAGTCATGTATGTCCATATGAAATATAGAAGCATACTTTTTTAGTTGTATGGTGCTACATAAACTGATCAATCTGAGCCATGAAACTTTTCAATGCAGTTGTTCGGGGTGAAAAAACTAGAAAAGAGTATGCGGTCTTATTAGAGAGGCATAGAGCAGCAATATCTATTCAAAAGCAAATAAAATGCAGAATTAGCAAGAAAAGGTTCAATAACATTTATGATGCATCAGTTCTAATTCAATCAGGTATTTATTAGTTTCTATTTATTATCACGTGAATATAGTTGTAAACCATTAGAGCTCTTCTATTATTTCTCTCAAGATCTGTGTGACTGGATGGTCCAACAGCTGGCACCACTGTTTGGCTGATCCATCCGGTTCAGTTGGATGCTAAAACCTGTTTCATTGAAACTATTACGATTCTTAAAAACCATCAAACAACTGGTCTAATTGGTCAACTTGTCAGTCAAGAAACTTTTTTACTTCACCCAGCTGTTGAAGGCCATTATTGGTTCCTCTTTTAATCATTGGCAACCAAAGAAGAAGGATAAACTAGTTCTAGTAGTTTCCTTTAGCCGAATCAGGATTTTGTTCATAATACATATCGGTTGAATCTAACTTTGTTGCCCGATGAATTCGGTTTTCTATTAATTATTGAACTCTTTGCATATGCTGATTGGTAAATCAGATTACTCCAACTTCATTTGATCTTCTTGTTATATATTTACCCTCCATATGGGAAGAATTTATAACTGTTTAATTTATTAATGGATATAAATGAATGGTAAATAAGTGGATAGTATTTGTGGGTCCATTGGAATGTGTGGTTGAAAATGAATTTTGACCATTTATAAAAAATCTATAAATTTTACCAAAAGGAGGCTTATTTGTGATACTGATTAATGTACGAAGAAACCTAATATATATGTATTGTTTCATTGGTTAAATTTGCTTTGTTTTTGCCAATGACATTCATATGTGCTAGAAAGGTTATGATTTTGTAAATCAATTGTGATTTGATCACAGTTTGCTCTACATATGGAACCAATGGCCTTTCGGTGTGCTATTGGTCTCAGCTCTTGAACATTTCTTGTCACGTAAATTAGTATAGAACTGCCTATCAGCAAATTTCAGAAGGTAGTTGTTCTAGAGCATACAATAATGGTTTGAACATATTCTTCAAGACGAACTCTGAAAGGATTATTAATTGCAGCTGTCCCTTGTGAGACCCTTTAAATTTCCGTTCTCCACATCTCAGTAGAAGTTGTTGAGGCATTTCATATAATCCGAATGGTGAAGGCTAGTGGTACTAAACATTTCTTTCTCCTTATTTTTTGATTTTCCAGTTATCCGTGGCTGGATGGTCCGAAGGTGCTCTGGAGACATAGGATTTCTGCAGTTTGGAGGCAAAAAGGTAGTCTGGACTATGTTGGTAAAATGGTATAATCATTTAATTTTCATATCTGTGGTATCTAATTTAGAAAGAAGCACAATCAAACTCGTCACTAGTTACTGATTATAATGAGACTTTGTCCAAGCCACTCTCTTCTCCTATCTGATGGTTAGGGGGCGTTTCGGTAGAAGATGTATCGATTATGTAATGTTGATAATTAAAGATATAGCACACAAACTCTATCAGCTATCATTGATGGATAGGGAGGAAAATTATCCCAGTATCTACGAAAGTTGCTGAGCTTTTGCAATTTCTAATTATGAGTCTCTTAATATTTTGGGATGGTATATCTTAATCTTACACAATTAGCTGTAAAACTCTTGCTCTCTATTTTTAATGCTGGAAATTCCACCCTACTTTTGCCTTTTCTGTTCAACACACAAATTTGATGCAAGAAATGGAAAGCCGTATTCCCATCTAAATACTTTTTTAGATTTGAAGACGATTGACACTGGTATGTTCTAAATCAGGGTGCGGAGCAGGAAGAGGTGCTGGTGAAGTCGTCATTCCTTGCCGAAATGCAACGCCGAGTTCTTAGGGCTGAAGCTGCACTGAGAGAGAAGGAAGAGGAAAACGATGTCCTTCACCAACGACTTCAACAATACGAGAACCGATGGTCAGAATATGAGCTGAAAATGAAATCCATGGAAGAGGTCTGGCAGAAACAAATGAGATCACTCCAGTCGAGCCTTTCCATTGCAAAGAGAAGTCTGGCTTTTGATGATTCACGTAGAAATTCTGACGCATCAACCAATGCAATCGAGGACAGTGAGTCGAGCTATGATAGAGGGAGCAACTTTAGGGCTCAAGAGAGCAGTGGAGTGAGACGAATGAATGCTGGTCTAAGTGTCATTAGTCGATTGGCTGAAGAGTTCGAGCAGAGGAGTCAAATATTTGGAGACGATGCCAAGTTCTTGGTTGAAGCAAAATCAGGTCAGGTCGATGCAAACTTGGATCCGGAGCGGGAGCTTAGAAGATTGAGACAGATGTTTGAAGTTTGGAAAAAAGACTATGGTTCGAGACTGAGAGAAACGAAGGTG